GTTTTCCCTTCTGCCCTTCAATTGGATTTATTTATACTATCATAGTCTAGAGGAGTGGTGATCATATAATGAGAACCTGGTCATTTAAAATTTTCTAGTAGCCATTTTTTAAAAAGTGAAAAAAAAACAGGTGAAAATAATTTTAACAATGCCTTTTATTTAGTCCAATGGATCCCAAATATTATCTTTTTAACATGGAATCAATAAAAAATTATGAATGTGCTAGTTTACATTATTTTTCTTTAGGCTAAATCTTCAAAATCTGGTGTGCATTTTCTACTAGCACATCTCAGTTTCTGGGGAGTGACAAAGTACTCAATAAGCACGTGTGCCTAGAGGCTGCTGTATTGAACAGCACAGATCTAGAGAAATCTTTTCGTCCAAGACTTGGCAATTCACAAATTTCTCTTTCCTCCAATCCTTTCATCAATGCACACTTGTTTACATACTGTTTGACTTAGAGTGTTAGTCTAGGACCGCATGAACTTGAGCTTCTTCTATGAAGTCCTTGACATACAGTTTGTTAATAAAGAATTAATAGTTAAATTAAACAAAAAGAGCAGTTCTCAGGGGTTCAGCAATCTCTGAGTTCAAGTCACCTGGCCATCTCTACCATTTTGTTCAATTTGCTCCATGTGCAATAAATAACTTCATTGGAGTGTGTTTGGCTAAATTCCTCTACAAGTGATTGTAATAATCACATAATACAAAAAATATATGCTTCAATGGAAACTACTCTATGCTTATAATAATCTGTTGAATGAACAGTTGCTAAACAAGTGAGGGACTCAGCATTTCAAGGACTTATTCTATCACAGGACATCATTGAGATAGCAGCAATTAGCTTCAGATGTGCCTGGGATCTATGAATGAGCAGCTGGCATCGACATACCAGTGATGAGGATGAGTCGATGTATTCGGCAGTATGTGGCACTATGTAATAAGGGGCTTCACAGGAGACACCGGGACAAACATGTTTCAAGACACTAGTACATTCACACAGGATCACAAGTAAGAATGTGGTATATGGTACACGGATTGGATGCTGTGGTGCCATGAGAAGTACTCACTTTTTCAGATCATTCTGCTGCTTTTTGGCTTGTGCACGCCACTGGTGCATAGCAGGGAAGAAGCCACTTGTGTATAGTGGAAAAAGTATATCAACTAATAAAACTGCATTTGACTGAGAAATAATTGTATCACAGCTGTCACTGAATTAATTCCATCAAATTAACAACACAACAGGTGCATTATATTTTATGAATCAGGACTGTT